GATTGTTTTACGACTAGGGTAATCAATCATTTCACTGAATAATTCATGTAAGTGCTTTAGCAAACGGGTGTGCTTGAAATCACTGCTTTTAAATCATCTGTAATGTCGTGCCCCGAGTGTGATACTGTAATTGTGATTTTATTTACACACTACTAACTAACTCAACCAGGCCCCGTTATTTAAATGAGGAATATCGTGACGTTTGTTAAGAAAACTCAAGACTACATGGAGGCGTTTCAGGGAGTTCAGAAACACTGACACTGATATGAAGAATAACTCCCTTTGTAACTTTGCGGAGCTTTTTCATGCTCTAACAGCAGCATTACACACTAAAGAAAGCTGAACATCTAAAAAAGCATAATAGGACCCCTTTAATTAAAAAAATTATTACATCTCCTTTAACTGTGATAATGCTGCAACATCTGATCAGCATATGATGTGTCCAAATTGTGTTAGTCTGTGAATGTCTCTCTCTCTCTCTCTCTCTCTCTCTGAAATTGAGCTTTATTGGCATGAGAATTGTATCAATGTGTTGCCAAAGCATTTCTAAAAAAAAATTACAGTAAAACATCATACATGTACATAATATACATACATAAAAATTAAGTAGAACAATATGAACATTTCAGAATTCTGTGGACAATTTAGAATTCAATGTGTAAGTGTTTGCGTGTGTGTGTGTGTGTGTGTGTGTGTGTGTGTGTGTGTGTGTGTGTGTGTGTGTGTGTGTGTGTGTGTGTGTGTGTGTGTGTGTGTGTGTGTGTGATTAGTCGTTGACTCTTTTTGTGACAAGCATCAATGTATCTTGCCACTAGTATGATACAATCTTTTTTTTTCACCTAATAGATGTTGAAATTAAAGTTTGGGGAAAGTATTTCACATTTTGTATAAAATGTCCCTCTGATGTCCTCATAGTTGGGACAGCTGGTGAAGAAGTGTTGCTCTGTCTCCACTTCTCCCTGGTCACAGTAAGGGCAGATCTCTCTCTCTCTCTCTCTCTCTCTCTCTCTCTCTCTCTCTCTCTCTCTCTCTCTCTCTCTCTCTCTCTCTCTCTCTCTCTCTCTCTCTCTCTCTCTCTCTCTCTCTATCATCATTATCATCATCAGACTGAATGAGGGATCACACAGACAGATGGATTTTCACCGGTGTGGTTTTGGGGGAAGAAAGGAAATGGCCTTGAATCAGCCATTCTTCGCCTCCGCCCATTTATGACCACCGTTTTGAAAAATCAATCTAGTCAATTAGAGATCAGACAGAAAGCCCAGTTCCTGCCAACACACGTTCTGGGACTGCGCTCCTCGAAGCGGCGTGTGTGTGTGCGAAATGACCCGGGATGGCATGTGAACACACCTGGCACAGGTACAGTCGTGTGTGTGTGTGTGTGTGTGTGTGACGGGTCCTTCAGGTCTGCGCAGAGATGGGACACTGAGCGTTTCATCTGAGCTCCGGCGGTCTCATGTTCTCTGTCTCCGGTTGGCTTATTGATCTGGAAGCCAGAGGCGGGAGGTCTCTCTACAGTTGGGCACTTTACTCTCTGTGCCGGAGAGAATCGAGTCCTCTATTGATCAAAGAGAAGCGTGTGTGTGTGTGTGTGTGTGTGTGTGTGTGTTGGCATGTCAGGATCCAACATCCTGCTCTGAGAAGAGAATCCAGCTGAGATAAGAGAGGAAGATTGAGGAAGAGTGTATTCGATATAATTAAAATTCTGTTCAAAGTACACATTAAAGTGTTGAGATTTGAAGAGCTTCACACATGGTTAATTAATACAAAAATAGATTTCTACATTTTATTCAAACGGGAGTGGTGCTTGCCCATATAATAAAACTATAATAAAACACAATATTACTGTATTTTGAATCAAATAGATGCAGTTATGGTGAGCATAAGAGACACAACATGTAACTGTGTAACCACACCCTAGCAACCGTTTAAAGCTACCTAGCAACCATATTGCAACATATAGAAGCCATATTGTAGCTCCACAACATCGTTAAGACATTGTTGTTGGCTCATATGCAATCATTTACAACATTGTAGCAACTATCCTTGCAACCGAGCGGCGAGTTTTGCCACTGCAAGCACCCTCCCCTCCCCCCCCCGCAACACTGTCACCTTTTTTACTCTGACGAGTTTGCAGGTCTGAAAGATGTTATCTGGTGTTTTATTAATGTTTTATGGGAAATCCATTTCATTGAACAGTAAATGTGACATGAAATATTGATTTGAAATCACTGGCATGATACAGGAGATGTGAAACTAGCACATCTAAGATGTAGTCATGAAATAGGTTGGTCAGTTCAGCTTCACTATAGACAAAAACACATTTGACCACAGAATGATGCGATTGGCCAATCACAGTCGAGTATTCCAGAGGGCCAATGGTAGTCATCGAATGGTATAGGCTGTGATGTGATGGATGTCGGCCCGTGTTTGCAGCGTCACAGTAAATGCAGCGTCACACTAGAAAGTGTTTTTAACATCTTCCGTCCAAATTTTTACCTGCATTTTTCCATCAAAATAAAAGTTTGATTGTTTAACGTTTCAAAATTAAGAATGGAAATAAATCTTTTTCTTAAAATCTTGACTGTATTAAGTCATATTTCTTATATATATATATATATATTAGGGGTGGAACGGTACATGTATTCGTATTGAACCGAAACGGTACGGGCGTCACGGTTCGGTGCACGAATTTGCACGCAGAATACACGGTACAAATAAAAAAAAAAACCTCTTAAATAGCGATAAATTTCGCTCTATTCGCTTTTGGTGTGACTGTTAACGCAGCAATGAACAGGCTGCGATCAAGATTGCAATGCAGGAGTGTGTGTGTCTGTGTGCGCGCGAGAGAGAGAGAGAGGCGCGATGAACAGTGTGTGTGTGTGTGCGAGAGAGAGAGAGAGGCGCGATCGAACAGTGTGTGTGTGTGTGCGCGCGCGTGCGAGAGAGAGAGAGGCGCGGGCGCGAATCGCGCGATGAACAGTGTGTGTGTGTGTGTGTGTGTGCGCGCGCGCGAGAGAGAGAGGCGCGGGCGCGAATCGCGCGATGAACAGTGTGTGTGTGTGTGTGTGCGCGCGCGTGCGAGAGAGAGAGAGAGGCGCGGGCGCGAATCGCGCGATGAACAGTGTGTGTGTGTGTGTGTGTGTGTGTGTGTGTGTGAGAGAGAGGCACGGGCGATCGAACAGTGGAAACGTAAAAACATACTCCGTCACTTTTTTCATACAGGACATCATTAAAACTGCAAATTGTTTACTTATATTTGTGTACACTGGCAATAAAACACAACATTGTGCTTTTGTCACACTCTAAACTCTTGTCAAACTGTAACCTACAACTGTTAACAAAAGTTTTTATGGTAGTATTATTTTATACGGAAATCAATTATTTATAATTCAGATGAGAATAAAGTTAGTTAATTAAAATGAAGGAAAACAAATATCTTGATCTGAAATAGCAAATTAATTTTAAATTCATTCAGGTACAATTACCAAACACATCTCAAGGTCTTTTCGTCTTTTTAATAATTTAATTAATAAACTAATTATATAAAACTACTGTCAGTGCACTACAAATAAACTGGTTCTATGCCTTTATTAATAAAACTTATTTAAAAAAATACAAGGTTTAAGACATTTATAAAAATGCCTTCTGCATTTTTGCTTTGCTTTTCCCTCCATTGTACCGAAATCGTACCGAACCGTGATGTCTGAACCGAGGTATGAACCGAACCGTGACTTCTGTGTACCGTTCCACCCCTAATATATATATATATATATATATATATATATATATATATATATATATATATATATAGTAAATAATAAAATATATACCATAATATTATTATGGTTAATGGTTGATCATTTGAAAATGAATAATAGACGTCTATAAAGATTAGTAATGCAATTTTACAGTTATAACAGTTTTCTGAAATATAATTTTGTTTGGTTTCACAGAGAAATATTTTAATAGTATCTTTATTTAGTATAATAATAATAATTATTATTCTTTTACATTGATGTATAACCACAACATTTTCCAGCTGTACAAACAAGCACAGCAAACCTGGATTTTTTTGAAAGATTTTTTTTTTTTAATCGCACTTGGATTTTTGTTTTTGCCCAAATCGTGCATCCCTAGCACATACTGTGGGTTGTGTTTATGGTACATTCGTGTGCTTTTATTAGAGGAGAATGAGCTCAGAGCTCATCCATGACTCATTCACCTCTCATTACAGTCCCACTCCTTATCTCTCTCTCTCTCTCTCTCTCTCTCTCTCTCTCTCTCTCTCTCTCTCTCTCTCTCTCTCTCTCTCTCTCTCTCTCTCTCTCTCTCTCTCTCCCTCCCTCAGCCCACTCATGCAGTGGATTGGGGGGTTGGTTGCTGTAAGGTGGGGTGAGCTCACGGATAAAGCTCTGCTGGGATTGGCTGATTTGAGCTGTGTGATTCAGTGTGACTGTGTTTGGGTCCTCCCTCTCTCGCCCCCTCTCTCTCTCTCTTTGAGGCAGCGCTCCAGTGAGGATATCTTCAGCTCGCAGGCAGGACAGGATTAACTCAACAACTCATCTCATCTGCATATAGATGCCCAGGGAGAAGCTCTCTCTCTCACACACACACACACACACACACACACACTCAGGGCTTCATACATCCGTTGAAGAAACTCTATTTGGACTAATTGGATGTTCATATCGGTGATTGAATAGATTTTTTCGCCATCAAATCTCCGGCAGAAGATGTAGCAGAGTCTGTTAGAAGACCTCGGAGTTGTGCAGAGTTTATCCGGTCGGGGTGTTTGGCGTGGGGTGGAGTGTGAGATGCCGTCCCGCGAGTCGTACGTGGTCCGTAAGCAGGAGAAGTCGCTGGTGCACAAGGCCAAGGCCGAGGGAAAGGGAAAGGAGCAGGGCATGGTGGTGGCAGCGGCTCTGGGGATGAAGATGAGTCCTCAGAAACCTCCCGCCACTCTCTGGCAACCTCTCAAACTGTTTGCTTATTCGCAGCTCACGTCGCTGGTCCGGCGAGCCACGCTGAAGGAGAGCGAGCGCGCGCCCAAGTACGAGAAAGTCCACAACTTCAAGGTAAGGTCCTGCTACGGCTCATGGCCTGCTTTCACTGGGTCGTTTCACTAGCAATGATGTTGGCATGAAGACGTTATTAGAAAGGGTTTTTTAAAGTAAAACGAATTTAAAGTTTATTTTTTTTACTTGATTGGATTTTTTTTCATGCATAAAGCTTAAACTTCTTTGAGTTTGATTTGTGCTTAAAACAAGAACAACAACTATTTGATATTGGGATGAGAACATTTTTTAAGTGGAAATGTTTTTTGGTATATTACCGATAATATTTGGTAATATTATTATGTGTCGTGTATCAACATTGTTTTGTATTCCGTTCTTTTCTGTGATTCATTGAAGTGTTTTGTAAATGTTATGTTGTTGTGACATTTATAAAAAAAAAAAAAAAAAGGAAGACTACAAATTTTTGTCCAAATTTTCAGATTTATTTTTGTTTCTTGTTTTATGCATAAAGCTCACTTGAATTAAATGGGATAAGAAAATAAACTTAGTAATATGTTTGGTAAATAATATTGGTAATATTATCATTTGTGGTGCATCAACATTGTTTTGCATTCTGTCTAAATCTTTCTGATTAATCGAAATGTTTTGTACATTTTAAGTCTTTGTGACATTATAAAAGTCTTTAAAAAGGAATACCACAAAATGATTTATTGTTTATTTTTGTAACTTGATTTACATTTTTTTTTCTTGTTTCATGCATAAAGCTAGCTTAATTAAATTAAATTGGTGCTTAAAACAAGAACAAAAGCTATTTGCTAATGGTTAAGAAAATAATATTTTTGGTAAATAATGTTATTATTTGTGGTGTATCAACATTTTTTTTTGCATCCTGTCAAAATGGTCTCAATTCTGTCTCAACTTTATTAAATGTCTTGGCAATCTTATGTCATTTTTTAAGCAAATGTGTCATAGGATGTTATGCAAATTCTCCCCAAATGTGATTTAAACCCGTCCCGAGGGGTGTGTTGTTGCCGTGGCAGCGGTGCAGGTTTCAGGAGACGTTGGAGGAGTTAACCGTGAATCTGTTTAAGGCCAGAGGTTGGGGAAAAACAAATGGAATAAATGCTTCTTCTGTTTGTATTGAGAGGAAGGGAGCGCGAGGGAGGTTGTGTAGGGTGACAGATGGAGAGATTAGGAACTGATAGAGGGATGGTAAACATAGCAGTGTTTCCTCGTTTGGCTTGTATCATGAGCAGGTCCTGCCGTCCCGTCCCGTCCCAGAACCCCCCTCATGTTCTCAGTTAGTGTGTCTGTAACCCTCACAGACTGCTGACTCCACAAACACCTCTTTCTGCTCCTTTCTTTCTCTCACGCCTGCTTTTCTCCTGTTCGCCGCATGGTTATCCCCCGTTCCAGACGCTCAGAGACTGGATGCTGGCTGGTTTCATCAGCAGGACAGTTAATAAGAAGTTCTTTTTGTTAGAAACATGGAGATCATTACACACTAAGCATTGCATTACAGTAAATAAACCCAGCTACAGTACAGTCAAACCACTATGTATTCAGACACCTTCAACATTTCTCACACTATCACAGTTTATTCGCTATTGTTTCGAAAATGGTAATAAAATATGACAAGAACTCCGTTATCAAATCAGTTGATATTTCACTGGTTTTGTCCGTCCTTTTGTTGAATATCTGTCAGCTGTTATATTTAACTACACACTTATATAATACCAGTTTAGCTCAAACAATCACCAAGCAATGCTTCATGTTGTTCATTCTGTGTGTAAAAAGCTCGCATTGGCAATTAAAGAAAAAAACACTCCAGCAAAACATGATCAGCTCAAAGTGTCTGAATAATTTTTGGTCCCAAATGTTACTGGTAGTCACTGTGTGAATAATTTTTGGGTATAATATGTCACAGTTTACTTTATTTTGCTATCCTCACTTACATAAATGAACTATAGTGTCCTGCACACACTAGTAAACCAATATCAAAAATGATATTTGGTGTCTGAATAATTTTTGGTTTGACTGTATAAGAAATATTAGAAAGATAGAGTACAGAGTAATAAAAGGAACATGAACATGTTTAGGTAAACTGATACCAGCGACGACATTCGGTTCTACAGTTATGAATAAGAAACGAGGCTTTCTTTTGATAATCATGTAAATCACATGCTTTTCTTTGTCCTCTTTTCCATAAACTGCTGAAATCCCCACAGCTCTGTAAATATGAAATCATTTAAATTCCTCAGGCCTCTTTTATATGTAAATAGGGCACTTCTCATGATGTCAGTTTGATGTACACGGATTTCATCATCTACTGTAAGACGGCTGTGGTGTTGCTGGTGTGTCCCGTACGAGCGCTTGCACGCGTCTGATTGGACGAGCTGTAACCTGGAGAGAGCGAGCGAGAGAGCAGGGCTTTCCTCTCGCTCTCGTTCTCTCTCTCTCTCTCTGATTAATTGAGATTGGATTAACCAGAATGAGCTGTGACTCTGCTCACGCATGTGTGTGTCCCGCAGGTGCACACTTTCAGAGGGCCACACTGGTGCGAGTACTGCGCCAACTTCATGTGGGGACTCATCGCTCAGGGAGTCAAATGTGCAGGTAAATCAACACACACACACACACACACACACCATGCAAACATGACCCTGGAATCATGCTTTCCACCTATTACCATAGTTTTTACATATTATGTTATGTTATGACGTAGTTATTACTATAGTTTCATTTTATTATATTTTATAATATGTATTGAATATTTACATACATTTAAATTCATATATATATATATATATATATATATAAATATATAGTGCCCATATATCATTTTACACAGGAGAACTTAAAGTTTCAAACTATCTCATTTAAAGGCATTTATTTTGTCTGAGAATGGATGAATGTTCCAGATTTAAAATTTTGGTGTTTTTTATTTTATTTTATTTTTTCTATTTTTACTGTGAACTCAAACAGAACCTCCTGAAGTTTGGATTTTTCCCTTTAGAAAGTTATACCTGGATGTTCGAGATTTCCTGATGAAATTTTGTCCCAATCCCTAAGCAAGTTAAGGCCATTTATTACAACATTCTTATTATTATTATTATAGGCGCTTTTCAGTGAAAACTGGTGGTTTTTTTATTTACTGACAATGTAGATGTGTCCAACAAAGTTCAGGAAGTAAAGTAAGTAGAAACATTGTTATATAAGAACAGAACACTGAAGCAAAAGTTACTTTCGTGAGGTCCATATATCAGCTGCGAATGCTCTGCATACCCAAGCCATTCGTGGACTTGCTAATTAACATTAACACTATAAGAAACTATAAATTCCCTTGTTTGAGGTGTACCATAAAGCGTACGCTCTGTTGTTATGGATCGTCATCGCTGTCCTGCGTTCTCATTGGTTTACGCTCTGTTGTTATGGGTCGTCATCACTGTTCTGCGTTCTCATTGGTTTACGCTCTGTTGTTATGGGTCGTCATCGCTGTCCTGCGTTCTCATTGGTTTACGCTCTGTTGTTATGGATCGTCATCGCTGTCCTGCGTTCTCATTGGTTTACGCTCTGTTGTTATGGATCGTCATCGCTGTCCTGCGTTCTCATTGGTTTACGCTCTGTTGTTGTGGGTCGTCATCGCTGTCCTGCGTTCTCATTGGTTTACGCTCTGTTGTTATGGATCGTCATCGCTGTCCTGCGTTCTCATTGGTTTACGCTCTGTTGTTATGGATCGTCATCGCTGTCCTGCGTTCTCATTGGTTTACGCTCTGTTGTTGTGGGTCGTCATCGCTGTCCTGCGTTCTCATTGGTTTACGCTCTGCTGTTGTGGATTGTCATCACTGTCCTGCGTTTTCATTGGTTTATGCTCTGTTGTTATGGATCGTCATCGCTGTCCTGCGTTCTCATTGGTTTACGCTCTGTTGTTGTGGATCGTCATCGCTGTCCTGCGTTCTCATTGGTTTACGCTCTGTTGTTGTGGATCGTCATCACTGTCCTGCGTTCTCATTGGTTTACGCTCTGTTGTTATGGATCGTCATCGCTGTCCTGCGTTCTCATTGGTTTATGCTCTGTTGTTATGGGTCGTCATCGCTGTCCTGCGTTCTCATTGGTTTACGCTCTGTTGTTGTGGGTCGTCATCGCTGTCCTGCGTTCTCATTGGTTTACGCTCTGCTGTTGTGGATTGTCATCACTGTCCTGCGTTTTCATTGGTTTATGCTCTGTTGTTATGGATCGTCATCGCTGTCCTGCGTTCTCATTGGTTTACGCTCTGTTGTTATGGGTTGTCATCGCTGTCCTGCGTTCTCATTGGTTTACGCTCTGTTGTTATGGATCGTCATCGCTGTCCTGCGTTTTCATTGGTTTACGCTCTGTTGTTATGGATCGTCATCACTGTCCTGCGTTCTCATTGGTTTACGCTCTGTTGTTATGCGTCGTCATCACTGTCCTGCGTTCTCATTGGTTTACGCTCTGTTGTTATGCGTCGTCATCACTGTCCTGCGTTCTCATTGGTTTACGCTCTGTTGTTGTGGATCGTCATCGCTGTCCTGCGTTCTCATTGGTTTACGCTCTGTTGTTATGGATCGTCATCGCTGTCCTGCGTTCTCATTGGTTTACGCTCTGTTGTTATGGGTCGTCATCGCTGTCCTGCGTTCTCATTGGTTTACGCTCTGTTGTTGTGGATCGTCATCGCTGTCCTGCGTTCTCATTGGTTTATGCTCTGTTGTTGTGGATCGTCATCGCTGTCCTGCGTTCTCATTGGTTTACGCTCTGTTGTTATGGGTCGTCATCGCTGTCCTGCGTTCTCATTGATTTACGCTCTGTTGTTGTGGATCGTCATCGCTGTCCTGCGTTTTCATTGGTTTATGCTCTGTTGTTATGGATCGTCATCGCTGTCCTGCGTTCCCATTGGTTTACGCTCTGTTGTTATGAATCGTCATCGCTGTCCTGCGTTCTCATTGGTTTACGCTCTGTTGTTATGGGTCGTCATCGCTGTCCTGCGTTCTCATTGGTTTACGCTCTGTTGTTGTGGATCGTCATCGCTGTCCTGCGTTCTCATTGGTTTACGCTCTGTTGTTATGGATCGTCATTGCTGTCCTGCGTTCTCATTGGTTTACGCTCTGTTGTTGTGGATCGTCATCGCTGTCCTGCGTTCTCATTGGTTTACGCTCTGTTGTTATGGGTCGTCATCGCTGTCCTGCGTTCTCATTGGTTTACGCTCTGTTGTTGTGGATCGTCATCGCTGTCCTGCTTTCTCATTGGTTTACGCTCTGTTGTTATGGGTCGTCATCGCTGTCCTGCGTTCTCATTGGTTTACGCTCTGTTGTTATGGATCGTCATTGCTGTCCTGCGTTCTCATTGGTTTACGCTCTGTTGTTGTGGATCGTCATCGCTGTCCTGCGTTCTCATTGGTTTACGCTCTGTTGTTATGGGTCGTCATCGCTGTCCTGCGTTCTCATTGGTTTACGCTCTGTTGTTGTGGATCGTCATCGCTGTCCTGCTTTCTCATTGGTTTACGCTCTGTTGTTATGGGTCGTCATCGCTGTCCTGCGTTCTCATTGGTTTACGCTCTGTTGTTATGGATCGTCATCGCTGTCCTGCGTTCTCATTGGTTTACGCTCTGTTGTTGTGGATCGTCATCACTGTCCTGCATTCTCATTGGTTTACGCTCTGTTGTTGTGGGTCGTCATCGCTGTCCTGCGTTCTCATTGGTTTACGCTCTGTTGTTGTGGGTCGTCATCGCTGTCCTGCATTCTCATTGGTTTACGCTCTGCTGTTGTGGATTGTCATCACTGTCCTGCGTTTTCATTGGTTTATGCTCTGTTGTTATGGATCGTCATCGCTGTCCTGCGTTCTCATTGGTTTACGCTCTGTTGTTGTGGATCGTCATCGCTGTCCTGCGTTCTCATTGGTTTACGCTCTGTTGTTATGGATCGTCATCACTTTGCTGGCATATGGGGTATTTAATGCGCAGGGAAAGCTGGCCGCGAATCGCTCGGCCAAGAGGAAAAATGTGCTGCTGCTGCCAGATCTCGATCACGATCACGAAAATCACATTGTATTTGATACAAAACTAAATAGACTAAATTAAGTGGAAAAAAAGTGAAACCTGAAATTATTTTCATAGTAGTTCGTTTTCTCCATAAGGATATTTATTGTTAACGAAAACTTATAAACTGTTAAAGATAACTACTGTAAGTAGACCTACTGTAACTATCTGAGGCTGTTAATCGTAGTCTGTGTTTGTTAAAGTCATCAGTTTGCATTATTTTAACATATCTTTAAAGAATACTTATATTTTTATTATAGCTACTTACATTTATTCTAATTACATTTTACTTCAAATAGCCTTCTAATATTGATTATTATATGCTTATTTTTAACTCAATAAAAAAAACACTTCTGGCATACATTCAAATTGACTCCTGCCATGGCATGGTGTCCTCAGACGATGCGCCGTACCGTTTAAAGAGAAGCATGTCGTTTCTCTGGCATCAGTGCTACCTAGCGGGATTACACAAATACAGCATATTTTGTCCCTTTTGCACGTCGCGCCTGACACAAATCAAATACAACTTCTTACCAGTTCTGTCTAACGAAGTATTAGATATGACTGAGAGAGATCGTAAACTACTGAAGACGGAGAATGTGAGTGAGCGCTGCCGTTCTCAGCGCCGCCCGTCAAAATAAAAGTCCCGCTTCCAACACATCGGCCAATCAGAAACACTCATCGGCAGATGACGATATTTTAAAAATGCCAAATATCGGCTGATATGTCAGCCTTGGCGATATATCGGTCGACCACTAGTGTGTGTGTGTGGAGCTCATATAGGTCAGTGTGTTCAGTCTGGATGAGGAATATGTGAATGCTGATTAGCGTGTGGAGTGAACATAGCCTGGCCTACATCTGCGAGAAACAGACTGTTCTGAACACTGGCATCATGATGAAAGCAGACAGATGAAAACTTATTTATATTTTTTATTCTTTATTACAACAGACATGATTTTAAAAGAAAATGTCCATGAATCCAGTGTAAAAAAGGATGTTTTTAAATACACATTAGGAGACATGCACTTTATCTCTGTTGAATTCAGTCTTGTTCTTTAAATGAATGATATTGTGGTTGGTCGGTTGTGTGTTTTAATGATTTATTTATACGATAATGTGAGTGACACATGTGTTTTCATGAACTGACTTCATGAATAATGCATTAAACTATTTTGAAAGCAGCTTGTGTTGAAAATCCCTTATTCTGAGACCCTTTTTACGCTACTTGTATCCACCTCCTTTTCTCACCCCTCTCTCTCTCTCTCTCTCTCTCTCTCTCTCTCTATCTATCTATCTCTCTCTCTCTCTATCTCTCTCTATCTCGCTCTCTCTCTCTCCCTCTCTCTCTCTCATATATTCTGATGCCACCAGAAACTAGGGCATTGAAATCTCATTTGATGTAGAGATTTGCATTCAGTGTTGCGATCTGACATGCTTTCTTCTTTCTTTTGCTTTTTGTCTGAGAGAGTGAGACTGGGAGCTGTGTGCTGGGTGTCTGCCAGCCCCAGTGCCCGGGCATGTTGTGCCACATTGCCTCATGAGAGGATAAAGCGCGCACACACACACACACACACACACACACACACACACACACACACCTCGGCCCAGGCCATCATGGCAGAGGCTGAAAACAAAGCTGGCATGTCTTTATAATGAGAAGAGGGGCTGAGAGCTCTTTACACACACACGCACACATTGAAATTCAGGGCTCGTAGCAGCACTGGGTCACACAGTGTGTGAATTTCAGGAGACTGGAACACTCTCACAGAAAGAGAAAACACCTGAATAAAGCCCAAGATATTTGCTTTATAACACCTCTGGGTTACAACTTAATTTAAGTCATGCATGTTCTTAATGCATTATGTTCATTATGCATATTTATAATATGCATATATTTTCATAAATGATTGTAACCCCAGTTGCATTTTCACATGATAAAACCTGAAAATGCCATGAGATAAATGCATTAAAATGCATGTCTATATTGTAACTGTGGCTTAAGCAAAGTAATTGACTCTGGTCCATTGAATTATTGAAAATGAATGTGCAGATGATGCAATTTCTCCTTGGGCGTGCATTCATTTTCTAATAATTTGATGGAACGAAATCATTTACAGTAGATTATTATGTGTTTTCTCAGACATTGTGAATGCATTATAATGCATTTTGCAAGGTTATCATTAACTAAAACTTAAAGTCCCCCTGTAGTCAGCCATTTTATCCCTTAAAGCTCATCTCTGATCACCAAAATTACATATTTAAACGTTTTTTTTTTCCTTAAAAAAAGTCTTCATGTCTTAAAATAGCTTGAATGTAACTACACCCTTGCCTCATTTAGTATATGCAGTTCTATCAATATGCAAATGATCATTTTTAACTAAAACGTATATATATATAGAACTATACTGAACTATACTAAAAACTAAAAATGATAAAGACATATTAAAAAAAAAAAACTTGGAAAAATTAAAAATTACAAGCAAACAACTACATTACTAAAACTTGTATCTAAACAAAAAAAAAATTCTTATTCAAAATATGAACTAAAACTATAATACTGATGCTAAACAATTAGTATAATGCATTGTATATACTGGCTTCCAATAAACCCCCTTTTTTTCAATCTAATAACGCTTACAATGAAAATCTATTATATTTGATCAGTCCCGACAGCTTAAAGGCAGAGGTGTGTTAGTTGTGTACGGGCCGGGGGTCTGTGATGAACACGGCCTCAGCAGACCTCAGCTCACACACTGAACGCATTAGAGATGTGCCCTCTATTAGCGCCTGTCTCCTCCGCTTATCATAAACCTCGCTCTTCTTTTTCAAAAATAATTACAGTTCTGCATGGCTGAAGTCTCCCGACGCCAGAGTCGCTCAAGGGGCCGTTTTTAATCACACGCCGCAGAATCTTTACAATAAGTGTCAGCGGGTAATTCACTACACACTCTTTAAAATATTGCCGTCGCAAATAATGCTTATTTTAAGATCTGTTCACTGAAAGGTTTTTAAGTGTGTATTTGCATGGAGTGATTTAGATTAGACTTCATTATAATTCCAGGAGTCAAAAGAAGAAGAACAAATCTATTGGCACATTGTTTTGAGGTTTAAAAAAAAAATGAATCCAGACGCCAGCTATAGATTATATTTTGGGGATTATACAGTATCATATGTTGTTCAGTTTTTACATCCTGACTTGTTGATTTGTTTAAAAAAGACCATAACATGTTCTTTCAGACAACGACTTCCATGTGTTCAGTTGTTTGGTGTAACCGTACTCGTAATGAAAGACGGCTGAAAAGACTACATAATATTATGGTTATGGTTTCTTAAAATAAAATTGTCCACCAATCGCCAGTGTGGTTTGCAGTGAACCGTTTGTTGTCATGTGACAGGAGAACATAAAACGGGAAACAATGTCGTAGCTTAGAGAGAATTTTCAAATTTTCTAGAAAACATCACATAATTTGACTTTTATGACATCATAACTTTATACTCATGATCGAAAATGTCATGGTTTGTAAAAGAAAAGAGAAGCTTTTACCTTTATTTGGAAAAAAAAAGGTGCAGTACACATCAGTCATTAAACCATTTTGTTTTTAAGGAATATATGAAATTAACGTGAATACAAAGATTATATTTCTAAGAATATAAGAAATATAATTTATATAAATATATATTTCTAAGAATATAAGAACACGTGCATTTTAATATAGGTTTTTAGCTTTTCATCATCCTTAATAGGGATGCACCGATATGAAAATTATGGCCGATACGCTAACCGATATTCTATATTTTGAAAGCCGATAACCGATATTCTATATTTTGAAAGTCGATAACCGATATTCTATATTTTGAAAGCCGATATTCTATATTTTGAAAGCCGATAACCGATATTTTATATTTTGAAAGCCGATAACCGATATATTAGCCGATAAATCTAAATCCAATTTTTTTTACACTTTTGAAAGCCTGATTACGAAAACAAAAGTCTCACTATAAAAGCCATGTCCCAAGCACACAATTATAATGTTCGTATTATAATAGTATGTAGTCTATATGACAGACTTGCGCTGCACATGTTGCGCTGAACTGTATTTTCCTTTTTGAAGTGATTTCTATTATATTTCAAACTATTTAAAAGCATCATGGCGAACAGTTGCGCATCTGAAGCGTCTCAGCTGAAGGAAATAATCCATTATTTATCGACTTAAATATATCGACCAAATTTTCTTATCGGGCCGATAACAATAACATTAAAAATGAACAAATATTGGCCGATACCGATATGGTGGCCGATATATAGTGCATCCCTATTCCTTAAAAGGATGATAAAAGACTTCAGGATGACAGTCTGGTGGGTTTAAATCTCAAAGCCAGTCAGAGAGCAGAGCGTTTGGCCCATTTACTGCAGAAACGAGGTCTGGTGTTGCCCACAGGACTATCTCTCTCTCTCTCTCTCTCTCTCTCTCTCTCTCTCTCTCTCTCTCTCTCTCTCTCTCTCTCTCTCTCTCTCTCCTCCAGGTCACGTTGTTTTGAGTGTCTCTCACACTGAACTCATCTGCCCTGAGCTCTTTCAGCTGCTTCTTGTCTCTATTTTTCTTGCGTTCTCAGTCTTCCTCTTTTTTCAGTCTTCATCCATGTCTCTCTGGTTCTTGCTTTGAAGCAGCTGGCCCATTTAGGAGGCCACATTATATATTAATCAGCTAATTTCCCTACATTTGCATATGGCGTGTGCGCCCTGGAGTCTGTCTGCACTGGTTGCATGGGTGCAGTTGAGGGGGTTGGTTAGTGTTTGCTGTTTAAAAGAACCAAGTCAACGCTGATATGTGATATTTAATATATATATTTTTGTTTTATTGTTAAAGGGGTGATGAACTGAGAAATCAAATTTTCCTTGAGCTTTTGACATCTAAGAGGTCATCATATTATAAGAATATCCTGTAAGTTTCAGAACTGAAAACGTCCTTGTTAGTCCAATAAAAGCTTTTATTGACACCAGGCTCAGCAAACGACTCGTTTTTCAAAGTGGGGAACTGTGACGACAAAGAGGATAAAACACCACCCCCGCAGAAGAAGATCAACACGGCCGGTTTAGCCCCGCCCACCGATTCGCGCATTACACGCATAGCTAAATAACATGGGCCTACCTCGTGATGACAAACCAGATCGAGCTGAGTAGAAACTCATTATAATATGCAAAACTGTTATCCACTCACAGCAGTGGGCGTTTACTTCCAAGTCTTCAATGCGAGACGCCCATAACAACCGAGCGTTTTTGAGCTAGGCTCAAAACTAGGGTAGAAAATAGCCTATTACTTATTCATTTTGATGTTTTTGAATGTAAAAACCAAGCGAACGTCATAAGCTGACCTCAGACAACAATATAAAAAAATTTAAAAAGCTAGTTCATGACCCCTTTAAAATTTCTCAAGTTCATTTCCAGGAAGTTTGTTTGAGAGGCCTGACATAACATTGGCTCAAGAGTTGGGGGGCGGGACTATCTGTTTGTCCCACCAATGGAAGACAAAAATGTTTTTTTTTGTAATTCGGGCTCATTCGTGAAGTGAAGCTCATTTTACAGTGTCCTTGTTACATGTACTTACCATAGTAATAATAGTAAATAAACATAATTACATGCAACTAACCCTCATCCAACTCCTAATCCTGACCATAACCCTATAATAAGTACATGTAGATTATTATTATTATTACTCAGTACTTAAATATATAATTACACTGTAACAATGACACCTTAAAATAAAGTGTAACCCTTGGTTTAATATTTGGTTGTTCTATATTGTACTTTAACGAAAATTTTTAATTCGGTCATCATTTATTCACCCTCATATTGTTTCAAACCTGCGTTACTTTCTTTCTTTTGTGGAACATAAAGAAAATCAATTTGTGGAAATCAATATTCACCAAAATTGTCTGGTTACCAGCATTCGTCAGATATCTTCCACAAAAGAATGATAGTCATACAGGTTCGCAAAAACATTTTTTTTGGCTTGACTATCTCTTCAATTAGCTCGTCTTTATTTCAGGATCTGATGTGAATAACACACACTTCACTCCTCCAGGGTCTCGGAGATTTATTTTTGGGGCTTATGAAGCTGTTAGGTGCCTGAAATTGCTCATGCATATTTTATAAGGCACCATTTGTAGTCCTGGCATGTTCTGTCATCAGCCAAGGTGACACCGTTGAAATCCCCGTCAGCCAATCAGAGCGGCTGACATCACTGATCAGGGGTCAGGAGCGGTCACTGATTAAGCAGAATGAAAGCTCAGCATTCTGGGTGCAAAACGAACGGGGTCTAATTTAACTACAGCAAATCAACTTCAGGATCAATAACATCAGTGTGAAACTGCACACTCCGGACACTTATTCAGTCATTTCAGCACGCTGCATTGATCGCTTCATTTGCTGATTTATTGACCTTGTGTTGTTTAGGCAGGAGTAATGCATCAAATGTGTGTGTGTTCCTCAGACTGCGGGCTGAATGTCCATAAGCAGTGCTCTAAGATGGTGCCGAACGACTGCAAGCCGGACCTGAAGCACGTGAAGAAGGTGTACAGCTGTGACCTCACCACACTGGTCAAGGCCCACAACGCCAAACGGCCCATGGTGGTGGACATGTGCATACGAGAGATCGAGGCCCGAGGTGATCACATCACACACTTACATCTACACTGAACACAGATCAAGGGATCTTCACTTCTATATATGAAGAGTTTGGTTCCAAAACCTGATAAACGCCTTTTTTTTTTTTAAAAATAGTTACTGCAAAAATCAGTATTGTATCTGGTTGGTATTGAAAAGTCAATGTTTAATTTTAAGTAAAATGCGATATCCGCCGTGTTATTCTGTCATGTTTTCTTCCTTTCTTTCCAAACCGCGACAAACGCCAGTCTCCCTTCTCTGCAGAATGCGATATATCCGCTCTCAACCAATCACAACGCACCATTCCACGCAATGTAAACAGTAACGGCAGCGCCTTAAACACACCCGGCTTCCTAGTTCTTCTGATCTATTTTGTACTTTTCGATCAACAAACAAACAAAAAAAAGAATAATTTTGCCGGCATTGATGAACCTGTGGTTGTTTCTGCGGTGGGTAAGAAACGCAAGGCATCGAAATCGAATCATTTACGTGAGGAGATTAAGAAGATGAGGCACTCGGGAGGAGGACAAATGTTTTCAATCTTCTTTACAGTTCTTAATAAAAATATTATACTAATAAACTTACGTTGTTGTGTATTTTCAACAGTTTCAATATGAAAAAAAACTTTTATATTGATTCAATGGATTAATTGCGTTTTGAATTTTAAAAAAAATGGATTCATTGCATTTTGGGGGAAAAATTATCCGTTTTTATAATAAATCTTTGAAAATCAAAACCTGGATTTTTTTTTTTTTTATTATTTTTTTTTTTATTATGACCTACAAATGCTATGTGAAAGTTTGAAACAGAAAATAGTGGTTTTCATCTTTCCATTTTCTTGGTAAAGAAAACACATTTTTGCTCAAATTAATCTAAATGGATTAAACTCTTCAAATATAGACACTTTATACTAGGTGTCTTTAACTAGTATGTACTTGCATTAAAATAATAATTGTTAGGTTCAGTGTATTTCTTGTGTTAATGTTGTATTGTAAAGCACTTGAGCTGATATTGAGGTTAGCACAGGTTTGGTGTGTGTGTGTGTGTGTGTGTGTGTGTTGGTTTAAGGGTTAACAGGGAAGAGAAGGACAACAGTGTCATTATAGATGTAATTACAGAAATTAAAGGAATAGCTCACTTAAAGATTACAATTGTCATCATTTACTCAACCTCAAGTTGTTTCAAACCTGTATGAATTTCTTTCTTCTGCTGAACACAAAATATGATATTGTAAAGAATATGGGTAACCAAACAGTTGATGAACCCCATTGTGGCTTATATAACGATATACATGTTTTGTTTGGTTTGCTTTGGCTTTTGTTTTTACTTTTTAATGTGTATTTTCTTTGTTTATTTCTATTATTTTTTTATTTTATTTTTTGGGTCATGTTTAGCAGGCGTAATGATATGACGCAGCGCCTGAAAATAGTCCCTAGCTGCGTCATATCATTACGCCTGCTGCTCTCATGATACGGCAGTGAAGTTTCTTGATTATTACGCAGGAATGAGAGTATAGTTCCTAGCCATATCAGCCTAGAAAATCGCAACTTTACATTTTCCGTCGGTCTTAGTGCACGATGTAACTACAGAAGAGTCAAGTTTTAAATAGGAAAAATATCGAAACACTTTGGTCATTTTTTTTTTTTTTTTGAAATGCTAATGGTCTTGTCCACTTCAATGATGTATGCTAAGCTATGCTAAAAGTGGTACCGCCAGAACCGGAGATCGGCTGAATGGATTCAAAAACGGTAAAACTCAACAGTTTAACTCTGGGGGAGTTGTAAAATGAGCCTATTTCCAAAAAAAAGTGGAGTATCCCTTTAAGGATTGTGCTTCTCTAAGGCTACATTAATCCGGATACATTTAAAAACGGCGTTTTCGTTTCAAAATCCTCTGGCAAGATTATTTTATTCAGTGAAGTATCTCAGCATTCACTGATGTGTCGCTCTCACTCACCATTATACGTTTGATCTAAAACGCAACTCTCATGTATTGCCGCAGGACAGCAAAAGCGAGTGAATTTCCTCATCTTTGCAGGTCTGTGATATGAAGAGTGTGCAAAGTAACATATTTTAGCAACTTTGTGAAGGTGAATAGCACAGAACAGGCACAATAATAATCGTTTGATAAACGAAAACGTATTAGTGTTTGGACAAGGCCTAAAACTAACTATTAAAAGCGCTTCTCATTATTACCTCAGCCATTATTGCATTTTTATCTTGCATTATGTGTACTGTAATACACGTGTTAGTTGTAATACAACCATCTTGTCTCTCAGGTTTGAAGTCTGAGGGTCTCTATCGAATCTCTGGATTCAGTGACCTAATCGAAGATGTGAAGTTATCGTTCGACAGAGGTGAGTGTGTACAGTACTGATCCGTCACGACCCCCACATGCCTACACACTCATCTGTGTGTATAATCCCGATCAATGGCATACACATGCTCACCGCTGCTTTTTGTAGGTCAGCCTTTGTCTTGCATTTAGAGCTGTGGGTTTATGTAATGTGAAATAGTCTGAGCTGCTTAAATGTTAAAAGTGGCACATTTGTGGGAGGATTTCCGCCCATCTGTTCATATTCATAAGCATTACTGTTTCATAATGACTCTTAGATGATACAAGGACAGTGAGAGAGAATATGATCAAGCTAGAGAGGAAAAGACAATATGATCTCTACAGCTTTATTTCTGTACAAATTCGGATGAAGGGTACACAATGTCCTGTAGGAAGAAAAAAGATCCTGTAGGAATTTCAGTTTATCCAGTATAGGATCTTTCCGGATTCTTCTAGTGATTACATGTACAGTGATTCCTGTTGTTTGTTTGTTTAGAACCCATCAGGGTTGTTACTTTGAACTAAAACTAAAAATATAACCTTTTTGTTAATTGAAATAAAGCTGAAATAAAATGTACTATAACGTAAACGTATTAGTGTTCTCTATTGTGCCGAGTGAAACGGCTTCTCGAACAAGATCAAATGTGGGCGGGGCTTGATTTTGTCCGTTGGGAGCTGATTGGATGATTGTGGTTTGCTATTTGAAGTTGTTTTGATTAAAGATTATGAGGACACATCATGAATTAAAAAAATGATGTGTACGGATAAATCATTTGTAATAAATACTGCGATACTCCATAAAAAAAAACGTAGAAGAATTATCCATTTTGATTTCATGGTGACTTTAAAATAAGTTGAAGTACTAAAAGAATTAAAAACTGAAAAATAAAATAAAACAATATAGATATATTTGCAAAAATTCATAAAAAATGACAAAATCACTAAAACTTAATCTAAAATTTAAAAAAAAAAATCCAAAAAAAAGTCTCTTCTGCTCACCAAAGCTGCATTCACTTGATCAAAAATACAGTAAAACTGTGATATTGTGGAATACTATTACAATTTTCTATTTAAAATATCATTAATTCCTCTGATGAAAAAGCTGAATTAGAGTAGGATGTTTTTTTCACACACAAATATTAAGCTGTTTTCAATATTGATAATAATAAGAAATGTTTCTTGAGCATCAAATCATCATATTAGAGTGATTTCTGAGGGATCATGTGACACTGAAGACTGGAGTAATGATGCTGAACATTCAACTTTGATCACAGGAATACATTACATTTTAACATATATTCACATAGAGAACGTTATCTGTTATTTTAGTGGCATCTTAGCGTTTAGCTAAATGTCTCGGTGTTCAATGGGTGAAATGTGTCTGTCTTCCGATGTGTTCAGATGGAGAGAAAGCGGACATCTCCGTCAACATCTATGAAGACATCAACATCATCACAGGGGCTCTTAAACTGTACTTCAGGGACCTCCCGATCCCCGTCATCACGTACGACGCGTATCCACGCTTCATCGAGGCCGCCAGTGAGTCGCACGCGAGATCTCTCCATCAGTGAATGTGTCTTTCATACATATCAATATCTGCAACCCTGATACCATTCTGACTTTATGCAATTTTGGGGTTACACTTTACAATAAGGTTCATTAGTTAACATTAGTTCCCCTTCGCTGTCACCCCCCTTTTTGAGAATGGGGGTTAAAATGCACTATTCAAACTTAAATGATTTGGAGAATAGACCCAAGTTTGGTCTTGTTTTAAAGGAAACACTCAGCAGATTATTGCTGAAGTGAAAACACTTCAAAAAATGAAAGTATGAAAAAGTTATGGAAGTTAAAATTTACAGTAAATCAAATATACTGTACTATATATTTTTTATTTATAAAAAATATATATTTTACAAAATATTTTTTACTCTAAAATTACTATAAAATCAAAGCCATATATCTAACCAAGTTGTGTTCCAAATTTGAAGTTGATATCACAAAAATTGAAGTTCCCATGAGATTTTGTTTAGGCGTAATACCCAAAATAGCCACCGGGTGACATACATTCCATTGAATTTAGTTGTTTACATTCTGCCTTAACAAATTAATACATTTCTGTCCAAATATCAATTCTGTCACAAAATTTGGAACCTTGAGACTTAGACCTTTCTGACAATATGTGTTTTGTCAGGATTAGAAAAGGTTTTGATCATAAATTATGAAATATAATGATGCCCAAAAGGGGAGGAGCCTGATAAAATAATTTAGAGTAGCGTTTCTATGGTAACGCAACGTTCAATTTCAAACGGTTTTCACAGGATGAATTCTGAGTTTGTAAGCTTTCAAATGATACCTAATTTATGATAACTACTTACTAAAATACGTGATGCAATAAAAAAGGCGATAAAAAAAGATAATATTATATTTTAGAGGACAATATATATATATATATATTATACTTTTTAGAGGATAATATTATATTATAATTTTTTATTGAAAAATACTAGATTATATGTTTTATTATGAACTTTTAGCATGAAAACCAAAGTTTCAATTATTAAAGGTGTGTGCGTTAACTTTTTGTGACAAAGGTCAGAACTCCTGTTATGACGCAGATTTTTTTGAGGCGCACTCTTGTCAAAAATTCATCGGTTACTCTTCCTACATAATTTGTAGCAAAAAAACAGCAGTAAAATATCTATTTAGGAGTCTTAGACCTTTCCAACCATATATAGTTTGTCATAATTAGATTAGGATTTAATAGTAATATAGCGAAGTAAAGTTAGGCGTCCCGTATACTGGACGGTGACAGTTAAGGGCAAGAACTAAGAATGAACAATACTTATACAGCATTTACTAATCTTAGTAAATATTAATTTCAACATTTACTAATACATTATTCAAATGAAAGGTTGTATTTGTTAACATTAGTTAATGAACAAACAATGAACAGCTGTATTTTTATTAACAAAGATTATGAATGTGTTGCTTATCGTTAGTTCATGTTAGTTAATACATTAACTAATGAACCTTATTGTAAAGTGTTACCAATTTTTGTATTTATTTATGTTCGTTTCATGTGTATTTGATGTCTATTCCTTGAAAGTAATCGCAGACATCAGGGTTTTAAACTTTAAAATGGCCCCAAATTTTACTACACAATTGCAGACCACAAATACAATAATATCACGTTTGATATCGTGTGTTGAGTTGAGTCGTCATGCCTCCGGATAGTTCTGTCGGTTTGTGACGCGTCTGCTTGTGTGTGTCAGAGCTGACGGACCCGGACGAGCGCCTGGAAGCTCTTCATGAAGCGCTGAAGCTGCTGCCTCCCGCTCACTGCGAAACACTGCGCTACCTAATGGCACATCTCAAGAGGTGAGGAGCTGTAGGAGTCAAATGAAAATCATTCATCTGTACGATATCAGAAACATCAGAAACTTCGCTCCCCGAGGAAAAGTATGTTTTGAAATCTCACAAAAGTTCTGCTCATAATATATAGGCATATTAAATGAAAAAATAATGCTAGGAGAATAGTTTCAGAGTGGTTTATTGGATATTCCTATGACATGCTAAGATTATTACATGGTTATATCAGCATTAAAAGTTAAAAATCACTGCTGATTTTTTCAGTACATTTTGTTTGGAAAGAAGAAAATAACTACGTTTTCATCAGTTATTCATCGCTACATATCTTACATATTTCTGCTCATTCGAAATCAAATACAGACAGCACTGTAAGATTACATGTGTTTGGATGCAATGAATTCGAAAGAGAGAGAGTGATTGCGTGTGTGAATAAATGTTACCCGTTTAAAATGTGCTTTCACACGATCCAGCCCGATCTCATGAAAGTGCGTATCTATAGCACCAATTTTATTTCTCCTGCCATTTATACCCCAAAAATTAGTTTTCACGTGCATATGATACGCACTTCACACCCCTAATGCTACCCGAGGGGTTTAGTGCGTATCATATGCACGTGAAAACTGCGTATCATATGCGAGCAAAAACTATTTTTGCCGTATAAATTGCACGAGAAATAAAATTGGTGCTATAGATACGCAGTTTCATGAGATCGTGTGAAAGCACATTTACTTTTACAGACAGCACTGTAAGATTACATGTGTTTGGATGCAATGAATTCGAGAGAGAGAGAGAGAGTGATTGCGTGTGTGAATAAATGTTACCCGTTTAAAATGTGCTTTCACCCGATCTCATGAAAGTGCGCATCTATAGCACCAATTTTATTTCTCCTGCCATTTATACGCCAAAAAATAGTTTTTGCGTGCATATGATACGCACTTCACACCCCTAATGCTACCCGAGGGGTTTAGTGTGTATCATATGCACGTGAAAACTGCGTATCATATGCGAGCAAAAACTATTTTTGCCGTATAAATTGCACGAGAAATAAAATTGGTGCTATAGATACGCAGTTTTCATGAGATCGTGTTGCCCGATCATATTCAGCAGGCTTGAGAACTATAACCTCCCGCAGTCACTCGTGTCCATCAGCGGCGTCATAACCTTCACATTTTTTTCCTGATTTGAGTGATCCATCTGTATCATGCTAGCTAAATGTGTTTAACGTGTGAATCCTTACTAAAAATGCAGTTCTATAATGAGCCGTTGGCATGAATTGTGAACTCGTAGAGGAGCGGTAGTGGAGCTCACACTCCACTTCGCTCACATACTCTGATCGGATCACAAGTAGACGAGAGACACATTCCCGTTCACACCAGGGCCCGTATTCATAAAGATTGTAAGAATCCTCTCAGAAAACTCTTAATTTAGCTTAACTTTTACGTAGGAGTCTTAGCTTAAGAGCGATTCGGGACCGATCTGAGAGCAACTCTAAGGAAAAGACTAAAACTTTCATCTTAGTGAGGAGGCGGGGTTAACTCCGTTGCTATGTGTGACACAATCTTTTGAAGACTGTGATTGGTTGGTTGTCCAAGAAGGAAAAAAAGAGTGATTTTAAGTATAGGGTCTATTCTAAGCCTTCACTTTGAAATTACATGCGTAATTTTTCCTATTTGACCGTTCTCACACACACATTATATATGTGTATATAAATCCTTTTTTTTAATTTACCATGCTGTTAATTTTCTATAAGGTATTTGATTGGCTTAGAATGATAAAAAATTGTTCCACTCTTTCCAATTACACTGATTGATGGCGTGTCTATTTAAGTGTTGGTTTGAATGTTGGAGAAAGCCCGACTGGACAGAGGAACAGTGTTTACTGTTAGCCCAGTTAGTGGACGAACACAAGGCCACCCTTAAAGGAACATTCGGGCCGGGTGTCGATCTATAGCGTCTTATTAACTCACTGTCATCCATCGTCTGCATCACATTTCTTCTCCCTCTTCATCGTTCTGTCATTTTCTCCTCTGCTAAAGAAACTCTTAAGCCTCTTAAAAGTCCTCATCCATACTCCTAACAACTTTGACCGTAAGACCTCTTTTAAGGGTTAAGATGCTTTCTGAATTACTTTTTTCTTTACTAGGATTTTTCTTTAATTTTAAGAGTAAACGCCCACATTTCTTAGAATTTTGTCACTAGGAGCGACTCTTTGCATTAAGATTCTTTATGAATACGGGCCCTGGTGTTTTAATCCGTCTCTTTTGTCCACTTTCAACCACTTTTGTCCTGATTTCTTCGAGGGGAGGGTAAATGTATGGGCTTTTTCAGATCATCCATCTAATGAACAAAATAAGCTCACGCAATTAACATACGAACGCGACCGAAGACGACGGAAAAACATACGGAGATCATCAGCTTTAGTTTCTGCTCAAGACCAGGAAAACGCTGCGAGTGTGTGTTAGAAATCAGGAATGGTGAGAGAACATTGTGCTTGGTATGTTTTTCATCTTCAAACCAAACTCTGGTCTTCAACAGTTGAAACCCCGTCTGGCTAGAGCTCTTCCCATAATGTCACTCATTAGTTCATCATTAGGTCAGTAGATGGAGAGAAGACGGTGTTTTGTGGCTGTTTGAACACAGTCGATCACATGAGTGTTTACACTACGAAAGCAATCCGGGCGAATGTGTTTTCAACTCCCTCTGGAAGTGGTTGAAAGTGGACAAGCTCAAGCGTTTTAGACCCGTTTACTCCTGTATTTAGTGTCGTCCACTTGTGATCCGATCGCCCGAAACACATCTTAATACCAGCTGTAAACAGGGTCTAAATGCGTGACTGGTAGAGTATGTGCGTTTTAAGATGGGTTGCACTGTCACATATTGTGTGTGTGTTTGTGTGTGTGTGTGCAGGGTAACTCAGAACGAGAAGGATAACCTGATGAACGCTGAGAACCTCGGGATCGTGTTCGGGCCGACTTTGATGCGGGCGCCCGATCTGGACGCCATGACGGCTCTGAACGACATCCGCTACCAGAGGCAGGTGGTGGAGGTCCTCATCAAGAATGAAGACATCCTCTTCTAGCATCACTGGCGCTGCGTGAACCAACCACGATACTGTTGTTTCTTTTGTCTGGACTTGAATATGAAGGACTGTTGTATTACAGTATTTTTTTGGAGCAGTTCTTACCCTCCTCCTCCCTGTCCGGCGACGGGTGATGCTCCTGTATCTTGCATGTCTTCCTCCCCATTTTTGTCGGGGGTCGCTGAAGCTGGAGGGGCGGAGCTCAGCGCAGTGGGCGTGGCCTACTTCAGCATTATTATGGGATGGTCGTCTCGTCTGCCGCTCGAGTCCGACAGATCGCACTTGTTTTTTGTTTTGTTTTTGTAAAACATTGTGAATTTGATATCGTCAGTTTTGGAGACACTTTATCTGAAGAGCCGTAGAGGGTGACGTTGTTCAGGCGTAATAATCTCTTCATTCGATACATAAACTCGTTAGACAATCCTCAGTCATCATTCATATTGCTCTCTCTGCTCGACTATGAGAGGTTTGTGATTCGCGTATGCGTATGCTATGAATGTTTCTCTTCTATGAGATATGTTTGACTCTGCAGGTAAAGTGTCACCAGTGATTTTTCAAAATCTGTGATTTGTTTTTAATTTTTTGGTTTTTTATTTTTATTATTCCTTGCGTCAGGTTGATCTGACTCTGTTCTGCCTTCACATGCCGGACCTCTACACGAGAGTCGGACGAATTATTTCTACTGTAGACACACACGTTCAGGAAGAATATTTGCATTCCATGTACATTTCATAATCCCTGATCTAGACTTGCCTTTAGAAAACCTTCTTACACTCTCAACATGACTGGTTGATGTTTTTGGTTCTGTGTTTTTTGTATTTGATTTGAGCATGAATAAGTTAATTTATTAAAATGTACTTTTAGTACTGTGTTCCGAGTCATTTAATTCATAAAAATAAAAAAAGATCCATTCAAATTAGAGATGCACCGATACTTAATTTAACTTGAAATAATGTCAGTCCTTATTTGTTAAATAATACTTGAAAATTATGTTTAAAATAAAACATTCCATAATATTGTGATATCCAGGAAGTGACATCATCATGGAGGGTTTCTTTAGCATGATGGAACGACAAGTAAATAATTTCATTTCACTTCCTAAATTTGTTGACTAAATTAAAGATAAACCATTAAACCCTGTTACCCAAATATATGTACACTCAGCTAAAGTATTATTAGGACCACCTGTTCAATTTCTCATTAATGCAATTATCTAATCAACCAATCACATGGCAGTTGCTTCAATGCATTTAGGGGTGTGGTCCTGGTCAAGACAATCTCCTGAACTCCAAACTGAATGTCAGAATGGGAAAGAAAGGTGATTTAAGCAATTTTGAGCGTGGCATGGTTGTTGGTGCCAGACGGGTCGGTCTGAGTATTTCACAATCTGCTCAGTTACTCGGATTTTCACGCACAACCATTTCTAGGGTTTACAAAGAATGGTGTGAAAAGGGAAAAACATCCAGTATGCGGCAGTCCTGTGGGCGAAAATGCCTTGTTGATGCTAGAGGTCAGAGGAGAATTGGCCGACTGATTCAAGCTGATAGAAGAGCAACTTTGACTGAAATAACCACTCGTTACAACCGAGGTATGCAGCAAAGCATTTGTGAAGCCACAACACGCACAACCTTGAGGCGGATGGGCTACAACAGCAGAAGACCCCACCGGGTACCACTCATCTCCACTACAAATAGGAAAAAGAGGCTACAATTTGCAAGAGCTCGCCAAAATTGGACAGTTGAAGACTGGAAAAATGTTGCCTGGTCTGATGAGTCTCGATTTCTGTTGAGACATTCAGATGGTAGAGTCAGAATTTGGCGTAAACAGAATGAGAACATGGATCCATCATGCCTTGTTACCACTGTGCAGGCTGGTGGTGGTGGTGTAATGGTGTGGGGGATGTTTTCTTGGCACACTTTAGGCCCCTTAGTGCCAATTGGGCATCGTTTAAATAACACGGCCTACCTGAGCATTGTTTCTGACCATGTCCATCCCTTTATGGCCACCATGTACCCATCCTCTGATGGCTACTTCCAGCAGGATAATGCACCATGTCACAAAGCTCGAATCATTTCAAATTGGTTTCTTGAACATGACAATGAGTTCACTGTACTAAAATGGCCCCCACAGTCACCAGATCTCGACCCAATAGAGCATCTTTGGGATGTGGTGGAACGGGAGCTTCGTGCCCTGGATGTGCATCCCACAAATCTCCATCAACTACAAGATGCTATCCTATCAATATGGGCCAACATTTCTAAAGAATGCTTTCAGCACCTTGTTGAATCAATGCCACGAGTTAAGGCAGTTGTGTCCCAGTGATTATTGTGTCCCCTAGTCTGGACAGTGCTGCATAGTTTGAGAATAATTATAAAGTGCATTGTGTTTTGCACTCACAGCACATGACCTTGATAAAGCAGGGCTTCTGTGTGTAATGTCTCGAGTGACAGCTGACTTGAAGACCCGCAGCCCTCCAGGTCAGTCTCAATCACGCTGATGTGTTTGGAGAGGAACGCAGACCTCAGGGGTCCCGCGGCGGCCCCCCCTCACATTTACGGACATGTTTTAATTGCTGTACGTGCATAAAGCTCCAGAGGAGATTTACATAGCACTGAATGTCTTCAGAATCACGTCCTCCTTCATTAGCATCAGCAGGCTGTGTGTTACTGAGTCTCGACCCTCAGAACCTTCATTTTCCCATCAAATCCCATTCAATTATCTCCCGTTCTATCCACTGGTAACGGTTGCACTCATAAACCCCATGAAGCGTGATGATGAGCCAGGGTTTCAGATCGTGTGACCTTTTGCTGTTTATTATCCCTCGTTGTTGTCATGGTGAACTAAAGAATGTAAAAATACAAATTCTTCAGTCAACAATATCGTTCAGAGATATTGGGTCAGTCCTGTTTATTTGAGTTGCTTATATTTTAAAAAATATAAAAAAAAATTATTGAGCAAGGATGCATTAAACTGGAAAAAGTGACTAAAGGCATTATTGCAACAAAAAAAAAAAGAGAAATTCAAATATATATTGAACTTTCTATTCATTAAAGAATCCTTATAAAAATGTATCCACAAAAATATGAGGCAGCACAATGCTTTCAACATTAATAATAATCATAAATGTTTCTTGAGCAGTAAATCATAATATTAGAATGATTTCTGAAGGATCATGTGACTGCAAGACTGATGCTGAAAATTCAGCTTTGATCACAGGAAAAAATTACATTTTAACATATATTCACATAGAAAACAGTTATTTTAAATTGCAATAATATTTCACAATATTACTGTGTGTTTTTAAATCAAATAAATGCAGCTTTACTGAGCATGAGACTTCTTTCAAAAAAGCCCAGCCAACCCCAAACATTTTCAATGTTACGAAACCAAATCGCTCCAGAATCAGTTGACAACAATTGATTCCCTGGCATTTCGGTATTTATCACAGATCCAAATGTAGGATGTGTTCTTTAAGTTGAGTCCCACACACTCCTATCGTGAAATATCCTGTCAGACTGTCTGTCTGTCTGTGCCCCTTTATAACAAACTGACTAGCCTACATCATTTTCCATACATAGATTATTTTCACAGTTGTGATTCACACCACTGACTTTAAATAAAATGGACCAACACAGTATAATTTATGGCGAGAATTATTTTCTAAATGAATAATCCATCTCCATTAGTGAAGAGTCAGTCTCCTGAATAAAAAGCAGATTGGCTGCTGTGAAGGTAAAGTCATAACGCTTGAATTACACACGCGTCACATGACATCTGCAGCCCCATAATACATCACAATTTGAATGAATATGTATGTATTTGTGTTTGTGTGGGATCCATGAGGTGAGTAACCTTTCGCTGTGGGCCGATTGACGTTGATTCAGACTTTCCACACACTCGCTCGCTGAAATGGCAAATGCTAACACTGAATATTGAAATATAACCTGAGGTGTTATAGTGACCTTAAATGGTCAGATGTCATGTGACTCTTGGACATGCAGTACATGAGTTTAGTTACTGTAGTTAGTTAGTTACCAACCAACCACCGGACACCTTCAGGATTTGTATGTTACCATATATGGTATGTATGTTCGTAATTCATATTTCAAATTCAAATATGCTTGATGAGTAAAGTCTTGTCATATCACTGTTTCTGTGTGCTTGCTTAATTACACGTTGACATCTTTCTCTAAAATAAAACGCTGTTGCCAATACTTTTACAATCCTGTTCATGGGTCAGATGGCTAATAGATCATTATGGCAAATACTGTATCATTACTCCACTTTATTCACAATCAATATCATAGTCAATGTGTTTGTTTTTCCAGTAACACTTTACAAAAAGGTTTCATTTGTTAATGTTAATTGATGGATTAGCTAACGTGAACTGACAGTGAGCAATATATGTTGTAAAGCGTTTATTAATCTTCGTTAATGTCAGTAAAAAATATATATAGTTCATGGTTTGTTCATGTTAGTTCACAGTGCATTGACGTGTCAACAAATAGGCCTACAACGTTTGATTTTAATAATGTATTAACAAATGTTGAAATTAACTAAAATTAGTAAATGCTGTAGAAGTAAATTATTGTAAAGTATTAGAGTTTTTGCCCATAGAATATTACAATTATATAAACATGTTTTCCCTTTTAAATTATAATTTAATAATATATATTAATAGTATTAATAATAATATAATTTAATATTAAAAATGAAAAACAGATTTCCTCTGCTAGAGAAAAATCATGTGGTAAAAAAGACTTATGATGCTACTTTTAAGCTATAACCTTTTTTTCAGAAAATGCATCATTTTGGAAAAATAAAAATAAAATATCAATAAAAGACACATTTAAGACAAAATCCTTTTTAAGTGGAGACATGCAGATTAATTTAATAATAATTATCATCATTTAATAAATAAATAAAAAATTCATTTTCATTTTATATTATTTTTAAGGGTTTTAAATCAGTACTAAGCCATGGAGAGAATTGTCCAGTATGCATAATG